TCTTCAGGACCTACTTCTGAGGTTGGCAACCATATTGACTATTTTCACAGGACACCACACAGTGGCAATAAAGAGTCTTATCAGTTATTTCTAGACTGAGTTTTACCACTAGAAATGCAGCATGAAAATGGAATCTTAGTAAGTTTAAATGGACCTGAGTTAAGATTTTAGAAACAGGTACTAGTTCCTAACTAGTTGTTAGATTGTGGCTGATCCTGTCTATAAGGGGAAATGGGCCAAAATACCTCTTTATTCCGAAGTACAAATTCCCTATACAGTAGGTAAGCTACAATGAGTAAATAATGGAGAGAAGCCACTGTGGGCAATTGCACCCTCCCCTTTGGTAATGGAGTAGACAAGATGTGCACTGGGGTGGAACCCAGTGGTTTGAATGCCTCTGGAGAGGTAATTTTATTCAAAGCATAGGAGCCATGCACCCAAACCCTGAATTGAAGGGGAGCGTGAGGGTTGTTCTGAGAACTGACTGTCTCAGCTGCGCTGGGGGCTGTGTGACTGTGCCATCCCAAGCAAGAGCCTAATAACAAAACAGTGAATGAATCTTAAGCAACCTGATTTTCATAAGCACAAAGAATCCAGTACAGGTTCAGGAACACAAAATTACTGCATTATGAAGGAAAAAATTGTATTATTGACTGTAGTATATGCAGTATGCACAAGAACAGTATGCAGTATATACAAGAACATCTTCCTTTCATCCTGCCATTAAAAAGTAGTGGGTTTTACTTTGTTGAAAAACACAGTTATTTCTGTGGTTACTTCAGTAGAAACATCAAAACATTCTCACTACCTAGGAATGTGCCCAATTATTTTTAGAAGTCCTGTGTCCTATTTATTAAGGACATCTTGAAGGTTTGTGCATGGTAATAAGGTCCTTCTTACCAGAAGAGTATTTATCTTACCAGGCTTACTGTTGTTTGAGGCAGCTTGAAAGAAGCCTCATCAAATTCAAGAATAGAAATATCTTGGTGAAAATATTATATGTAGATGTTTGAGATCTAATGAGTCTTGTTAAAAAAAAAAAAGAACCTCTGTAATATGAATTCTAAGACAGTGACCGTCCCTAGAAGAACTGTAACATTTTACATCATGGGCTTTGATTTTTTTAAATCTAACTTTAGTGTTCTTCTGTTGTAATCATTTGACAAAATGAGCATTAACTTTTATATCTCAGTGGAATGGTTGGCAATTCACTTAAACTATAGCACGGATGTCTTTTATGACAGTGAGAAGTGTCAGTTAAGTGAAGAATGTTAGTAGCCATGGCTTAGGAGATTGGTTATGAACCATAAGCCAAATCATTGGCCTTAAATTCCAGATGTGTTTAATCTATAGCCCTATTCTTAGAGGATGACCTAATTTTAAAGGCACCACACAAAATAGCACGTTATGCTATTACAGACAAATCTAAGAAGTCCCTCTCAGTTGCCATGAGTCTGTATTTGCTTGTAACTGTACTTTAACAGACCTTAACTGTTTCTACAGAAGTAGTTATGACAGCCTTGTTTCTAGCTACTGATAGCTGAGGAGGAAGAAAAGTGGCAGGAGAGAAAATGTAGAATGAGTAGCAAAAAAATAGATTATATCAATGAAAGAAACCAAAATGTTGCATTTTTTTACTTTATCAACTAAGAGAAGAGAAGAGCCTGATATTAATTACTATAAAATACTATAATGTTTTCTTAAGGAAAATTAAGCATTTATAATGCTTGACTCCTTTTACTTTTAAAAGGCTTTGAGACATGCACAAATCAAAGAGATTAAGGAAAATGCAACCCAAAGGGATATTTGGAAATAGAGAGTGATCCCACTTATGTCATATCTGAAAGTGATGTAGGTTCCCAAACCACCACTAAGCTGATTTAGGATTAGTAGTGGATGACAAATTCTGTTTTGCAATGTGATATGGCAGTGAATTAAAACAAAAATCAAAACAAAAATTCCCCTTCTTTGGGGGATCTGTATGCTCTGTACAGTCCTAGAGAGGTAGCACATAATTTTCTGTTCAGATACAGAATAACAGGAAGATTTAGACAAAGACAGAGCAACAAAAATGATGAGGAGAATGTGATTTATGAAGGAATAGCAAGAGAACTATACATCCTCACCAAAGTAATCATTTAGTCAAGACATGCAACTGGCTACAAATGCTTTAATGGTATAAATACTAGGAAGGGAAATGAATTGTTTGAATTGGTACAAGTGAAATAGAACAGGGAGTAATGAAATGATAGACTGAATGCCCCTCAGAACCATGACATCTATTTCACCATGGAATAGCTTCCCAAGGGAAATAGTAGAAGTGTTGTTACTTGGGACACTTAAAACTAGATTAGAATTTTGACCAAAATCTTGTAAGATTTTCCTTCTTTATGTAACATGGTTCCTTGAATCCTACTTTAGGCTCTAATCTCTGGACTCTTCCTTGTTCACTCTTTTGCCTGTTCTGTCTAGGCCAGTAGTTTTCAGCCATCAGACTCAAGGCACCACTCAGAAAATACTAGCTCTTAGCTTTCACTTGTTTTTTGACAATGGAAAAATAGAGCAATTAATCTGTTGCAAAGAGTTCAGAAAGACCACAACAGGTCAGAATAGTTTTTCCTAATGAATTCCTATTTGAAATGTCTGGGTTATTGTTGTGAATCTCAGGTATTTTGCACACCTAACAGTGCTAATATTGTGAGACGCCTTAAAAGGATCTCATCGTCCCTCATGGCACCCTGGCTGAGAATTACTAGTCTAGGCCTTTCCGAGGACTTCACTGCCATCTGGGCCAGATTGTTGAACACTATTGCTACTACTGTAGATACTTTTTTTTATGGGGGAAGCTCCTAATAACTCTCCCATTTAAGCAGGAGTATTTTCACTTAAATAGATAAGGGATCTAGTACCCCCCCTTCACATTACTCAGCTCTTGTTTCTAGTGTCACCAGGGCTGGTTTCACTTTATTCCCTCGCACACAGCTGAGGTCGGCTCTCTTCTAAAGTTAGTCAAGCTCAGAGATTCTCAACTGGGGTGCCATGAAAATCAGAAAAGCTATGGAGGGGTGCCTTGAGGCTAAAAATATTGAGAACCATTACTCTAAATGGTCACCTAATAACTAACGTCAGCCTACTTTCAGGATTAGTGGGGATTTGACATAGAGGCTGGTGTTTAATTAGACCATTCCTTTATTATGTGTTACTGCCCTGGGTGGATCAACTACCGTTGTGTATTGATCCTGATTTCCACTCACTATTTTCTGCAAACCCTTAAACTTAGGGAAAGAAGTTACATGTCTATTCACAGAATCCTTTTTAAAAAAAGGCTGTTAGTCACAAGACCCTGATCTTTTGCTGCCTGAATTCAAGGCACTTCATCATACTGCTTTGACAACTATTTTCCCTTCCATAAAACATCTCCCTAATGGATGGAAAAACACTGGAGGCTTTCCTGCCTGCTACAGCATGAGGGCAGAAGACTCAAAAACCTTAAAGTGTAACCCTAAAAATTATTTTTCAGTTGTAGCTGAAATATTGAAAGAAGAAAGTAAGAACTGAATGTGTGCCAGTAAATCATACTGCTGAGGCAATTCTGTTGCACAAAACCAGGTCAATTCAACTCAACCTTAAGGTGGCCGGTGACTTTCCAGGTAAAAATTACTGGCTTAGTAAAGTTCATAATAAGATTCCATTTGAAACAGAGTCTACCTTCACTTGCAGTTGGAATGCTTAGCAGCTTCTCTGTGAGAGAGAGATCTTGTTTGAACAGCTTCAAGGAAGGATACCAATGGTGTGAAGGTCTCATTTTCATTCCTGGTGACCTATCTTTCTGCTTGAACAACTCCTGATTGTGTAAAAATTCTATGCTCCAAGTCCAAGGGTCCTAGTCAACAAAAGTGCGTGGGCTTGTTTGTTTCAGTTAAAGCTTCCTTGATTTCTTGTGTTTTTTACACAAGTTTAATTTTAAATTGTTGGTGTTTAAGAGTGGTGTCAGGTTGTCAATGCTGGAGATAAGCCTTCTGTTTGCCTGCAGAATTCAGAACAGTGTGCACTTTCTCATCCTGCCCCATCAGGGCATATATCTAAGCCTCAAGTTGGATGAAGAGGAGGTGGCAGTTTCCATCCCTCATTTAGGACTAGGTTCATAAAAGGGACTTTTCAACTGGTCATAATCCCCCAAATCTGTGCACAAAACTGCCTGAGTCCTCTTATCTTGCTCATAAACACCAAACAGACAAAGCTTTCCTCACCTACCTTGCCTGCAGAGCTAGATCCAGCAAACGTTCTCAGACTGTGCCTGACCCTACACACAACAGAAGGACAAGCAGATTGTAGCCTTAACCCCTTTCTTCTCAATAGTTCAGTGTCTTATGTACTAACCTGGATCCGCGAGACCCAGATTTAAATTCTTCTCTCTCCATTTTGGAATGAAAAGCACACACTGATCTGGCACCTCATAAGAGTGTGACTTAATTACTGGGCTATGGGAATTGAGTATATGAGGAGTGGGGGGTTCTTAATCTCTACTGTCAAAATAGTCATATACTGCATGAAATACTTAAATATTCACAGACAAAGAGAATAATTCCATAGCTGTGTGCAGTCGCCTGTGAAAGGTGAATTCCAGTCTGTGCTCCAGTGAATTTTATATACAAAGTCCAACTAATTTAATAGAATGCTTTATATCCCAATGGTTATCAATCCCTCATGTGGTACCTCAGGTTCAAGTGCTTGTGCTAAATTGGGATTAGGCTGGATTGGTATCTGGATCTCTTTCCCAACTGGGTGTACAAACCACTGGGAATTTGGACAGTTTTTTTGTTATCACTAATTGAAATTCAGTCACCAACATTATTCCAATTGTTTGTTGATAAAGTTGGCATTCAACTTGATGGTGATGTGCCTAATGGATGGTTACTGTGGATGATATCTGAACAGCAGCCTACAGTAGATGTCCAGAGATTGTGCATTCCCAAGTGAGGCTTTTTGTTTGTTTGACCCTAATGATGACAGTCGGCAGTGGAGGAAAATATGCACACTTGCAGTTAATGCGGGAAGGCAAAAGCAGAAATAAAACAGACTTTCAGAGGAAAATGTAAGTATAAAAATAAGACAATGGTATGAACGTGAACATTAGATCTAAGTGATGCCACTGCCTGACAGTGTTTCTTCTGTGACCCCTCCCCGCTGCCCCCCACTGGATGGCACCAGAAATCATTTGGCTGCTGATACAGATGTTTTCAACATATTTGCAGAAAGCACACTGGACATCATGTTCTGCAAGGGCTGTGAAATGTTTTTGGATAGGGTGGTAAACATAATTATTCTGACTAATAATCCAGACAGGGCTGAACTGTGTGCAGCACTGGATTGAGAAAGGAGTGTTGTTGGCAATAGTTGTTGAGATTATTTACCTAGTTTAGATAGGCGGTTGAAGCATTGGGTGTACTTGTTACTGAGGAAATGAAAAAGAATTAACACAAGTCCAGACCTACTCCTTATGTGCATCTATTCAGGGACCTTGCTTTTTCGGCTTCCGTGCTACCAAACAACCAGCTCTTGGATCCTGGGTACAAGTTCCCTCTGAGCAAGCAAGTGGACTTCATTTTGCCTGACTTTTCTCCTGTCTGCTGTAGAGATCCTACAGAGCTGGTCTGGCACAGGTGCTGCATGCAGTGCACACTCCAAAATGACCCTGTGCTCTCATGCACAGATCAACCCCATGCACACAGATGGGGTTGATCCAGAGATCCACAGGCTGGATCCAGCCTGTAGACCATATATTTGAACACTGGTTTTCCCTGGGTTACAGTGTAGCCTGCCCTCCTATAAAAAATCTTTCCATGTACAATGATTATTCTCCCTTGCCACTTTCCCAAGATGGACCCAGCCAAAATGAGGAAAAAATGGTTCCTGGTGGTAAAGACAACTTGGGAGATCCACCTGTAAGTTCTTAGCTCACTGGCTTTCTTCAAAGCCTTTTATTTGTTGCATTGTTTGTACACTTGAATTTACATGTAAATTCACTTTGAATTTATATCCAGTTATAAATTCTTCTTGACATCAATTGCTCAGCAGTGGAATGTTCCATCAGAGTATCTTGGCAAGGTGAGAAGACAATCTGAATTGCAAAATCATTTCTGTTCACAATAGAAAATGTTTTTATTTGTGGACTTTGGATGAGAAAATTAGTTCCACTGTTTGTGTTTCTAAGCAATTACTGTTAAAATAGACTGTGATGTCTGAGTTGAAGAATGCTGCCCCCTCCCTCATCACCCATCGGATCAGCACATTCTGTTGTGCACCTGTGCAATTTTTCTTGATAAGACTGATCTTGATTCTTTTACCATTTCATGTGAAAGAACATGCATGTCAGCATGAAATCTGCAGTACAACAGTTTCATTGTATCCGTAGATTAAGATATAAGCAATATATCAAAAGGAAAAGCTGCTTCAGGTTTTTTATTTGCAACTACAGTAGTATGCTCTGTGTATGTTGAGGGTGGGATGGTAGAATTGACAGAAGCACCCAGTTTGAAAAGTCTGGATTTGGATTTTGAATGCAACAGATCTCAGAACCTATAGAGAGGGAAAATGGCTGGGCACACATCTGATTCAGATTTGAGGCACACTTAAAATACAATCAGACCTAGACAGGTTACAAGGGTGGGCGGATGAGAATAGGATGGGATTCAACACAGACAAGTGCAAAGTGATGCACCTGGGGAGGAACAACCGGCACCATACCTACAGGTTAGGGAACTCCCCTCTTGTCAGCACGGAGGCGGAAAAGGATCTGGGAGTCATCATCGACTCCAAGATGAACATGGGCTGGCAGTGTGGGGAGGCAGTTAGGAAGGCCAACTGCACCTTGTCATGCATCCACAGATGTATCTCGAGCAGGTCCAAAGAGGTGATCCTCCCCCTCTATGCGGCACTGGTCAGACCGCAGTTGGAGTACTGTGTCCAGTTCTGGGCGCCATGCTTCAAGAGGGATGTGGACAGCATGGAGAGGGTCCAGAGGAGGGCCACTTGCATGATCAGGGGACAGCAGGGCAGGCCCTATGAGGAGAGGCTACAGGACCTGAACCTGTTCAGCCTCCAAAAGAGAAGGCTGAGGGGGGATCTTGTGGCCTGTTATAAACTAGTCGGGGGATCAGCAGGCATTGGGGGAGATACTGTTCCCCCAAGCACCGCCAGGAGTGACCAGGAATAATGGTCACAAGCTGGCAGAGGGTAGGTTTAGGTTAGATATCAGGAGGTGCTACTTCACAGTCATGGTGGCTAGGGTCTGGAACCAACTTCCAAGAGAGGTGGTGCAGGCTCCTACCCTGGGGGTTTTTAAGAGGAGGTTAGATGAACAACTTGCTGGCATTGTTTGACCCCAGTACTCTTTCCTGCCATGGCAGGGGGTCGGACTAGATGATCTTCTCAGATCCCTTCCAACCCTAGAAACTATGAAACTATGAATACATGTTTTGATTAGGGTTAAAAGGGAGACTCATTAATCTGATTAATCATTTGAAAATTAGTTTTCCTCCATAGCTCATAATACTTATAACTGGTAGAACCATTAAGAAATTGATAAGCATTAATGTGCAATTAAGATGCATCAGTGGCATTTTGTGAAAAGCAGTTTTAAGTTTTCAACTTGGAGCCTTTTTCATGAAAACTGCGTGTTTCCTCTTCCTAAGGGAATACAGTAGTTAATTCTAATATGAATCAGAGGGACAGAAGCTATGCTTGAGTTGCAAACTTGCCAGCAAAGGCAAATATACACTGCTCCTCCACACAGGCTACTTCCTGTACTGAAGCAGCATGTCTGCTTCTGTAAGGTGTTACAGGGTGCATCTACATGCGCTTTAATGCAGTTTTCCTTATGTGCATTACATTTAGTACCTCCAGTGTGAGGTACTAAATAAATGTGCAGTAGTGAAAGCAAACACTTCTTAAATGATGCTTAATGCACAGTAGCTTATTTTACTGAGTATTAGTATATTTGCATGGTTTTTTACACAGCACTTTAATGAGCAGTAAAATAGGCTATTGTGCATTAAAGCACATGTGTAGATGTGCCCACAGAGAGGTTAATTGCCACAGTTAATGACAATGCCAGTTAGCTCACCCCCATGCTAAATAACCCATGTACAGCACTGTGTAGACATAGCTACACTGCTTCCAGTTCAGGAGGAAGTCTGCAGTATATCATGTTTGAGGGCCCTGCTGCCAAGCATAGGAAGTTTGCTATAGTTAATTTAGGAAACATTCTTGTCATTTTATTAAGTATACCCACAAGTAATTTATTTTTAAATATATTTAGCACTAAGGCTTCAACTGAAGTTTGGGTTCCTTTCTGCCAGATTCTCTACATATTTGTAACGAGACAGTCTCCATCTTGAAGAATTCATAATATAAACACAACAGACCTAAAAGAGGGCAACAGAAATACTGTTCTTCAGTATGGGTTATTATGGCTCTTGCTGCAGATACACATGCTCTTGCTGGAGTGATTAAAGTGCAGAGCAACTTTGACCCTCCCACCCTTCCCTCTTGCTATCGGAGGCTACAGGCCAGAACTCTTCTTCAGTATTTTTGAGCTAACAGTAGGGGTGTGCAAAGTGGGCCTGTGGCAGGACGGGACCTAGGGGTGCCGTGAACTCCCCTAGCGCCCCCTACCTACCGTGCCAAATCGGAAATGCACCCTCACTATCTTGCCCGCCACGTCTTTGATGTTAATGTAGTAAAAGGGAGGCTGCCTTCTTTCCCTCTTTGGCACGGTGCCCTGAGATGTCCCAGTCCGTGTCCTGCCTTCGGTGACACGGTGCACTCTAACCTCTGGGGTACGTGTGGGCCCTACAGTCACCCAGGCCCTCATGGGCTCTCTGCCTCCCGCCCGCACTGGGGCCTGTCTCCCGTGCTCCCCGCCCACACTGGGGCCTGTCTCCTGTGCTCCCCGCCCACACTGGGGCCTGTCTCCCGTGCTCCCCGCCCACACTGGGGCCTGTCTCCCGCGCTCCCTGCCCACACTGGGGCCTGTCTCCCGCGCTCCCCGCAATCGAGGCTCAGGTGGCCGTAGCCGTGCCTGGCCCCCAGACCCCCTTCTCGGGTCTTACGCCCCACTGGGGCTTCCCATGATTGAGGCTCAGGTGGCCGTAGCCGTGCCTGGCCCCCAGACCCCCTTCTCAGGTCTTACGCCCCACTGGGGCTTCCCATGATTGAGGCTCAGGTGGCCGTAGCCGTGCCTGGCCCCCAGACCCCCTTCTCAGGTCTTACGCCCCACTGGGGCTTCCCATGATTGAGGCTCAGGTGGCCGTAGCCGTGCCTGGCCCCCAGACCCCCTTCTCAGGTCTTACGCCCCACTGGGGCTTCCCATGATTGAGGCTCAGGTGGCCGTAGCCGTGCCTGGCCCCCAGACCCCCTTCTCAGGTCTTACGCCCCACTGGGGCTTCCCATGATTGAGGCTCAGGTGGCCGTAGCCGTGCCTGGCCCCCAGACCCCCTTCTCAGGTCTTACGCCCCACTGGGGCTTCCCATGATTGAGGCTCAGGTGGCCGTAGCCGTGCCTGGCCCCCAGACCCCCTTCTCAGGTCTTACGCCCCACTGGGGCTTCCCATGATTGAGGCTCAGGTGGCCGTAGCCGTGCCTGGCCCCCAGACCCCCTTCTCAGGTCTTACGCCCCACTGGGGCTTCCCATGATTGAGGCTCAGGTGGCCGTAGCTGTGCCTGGCCCCTGGACCCCCTTCTCAGGTCTTGCGCCCCACTGGGGCTTCTCACCTGCACCCGCACTGGGCTTTTCACTTATAATACTGCCTGCACTGGGGCCGGGGTCGATACACCCCAAAACGTGGTGCCCTCACGGGCGCTGGGTCTCCACGCTATCGTGGAGCCCCTATGAGGCCTCCTCCAACCCCTACAGCCTCACCTGGTCCTCCCGTGTAACACAACTACAAAACAGAATACTCACACTCGTGCATTATAACATAAATTCCAAGCCAACTGGCTAACCTTCATTCATATCCCTATCAGGGTTTCCTCCACCCAGTATCATCAAGCAGACACTGCTCAGGCCATCAGGCTTCTCTGCTCTGCCTACTCCCAGCAGAGCTCCCTCTTCCTCAGCTGCCAGAGGGAAACTGACCTCCGGCCTCAGCCTGGCTTGTTTATATAGGCCAGGCCCTGCCCGCTTCCGGTCAGCTGACCAAACTGGTTGTCTCGGCAACCCACACCTGTGCTGCCCTGGTGACTGGCAGCTGAGCCTCCCCCTTCTCACCACTAGGGGTCTCTCACAGGTCGCTTCCCTTTTAGGCACAGGGTGCTTAAGTGCCCTGCAACAGGGCCCTATTCTATTCGGATTCAGATTTCGCCTGAATCAGGGACAGTGATTCAATTACTTGATTTGGATCACTGTCCCTGATTCGATTTGGCCGAATTCAAATCTGAAGGTTCGATGCTGATTCAGAGAATCAGCGATTCAGACATGGATACAGCTTTAAAAGTTTTTTCTACATAACTCAAGGTACCAGCATGGCTTGTGAATACTGCAATGCTGGGGTGGATGGAGTGTCCTATAGGAGTGTGCGGGGGGGCAGGGGAGGCCCTCCATGTACTCAATGGTGAACCTGGAAGTGGACCAGAAGTACTTCCGGTCCACTTCCACATCTGCCTGGGATCCCACCCCACAGCCCCTCTGGCTCAGCGATCGGCTGCAGGGGGACCCCAGGTGTCCCCCCCCCCCACAGACCCAGGAGGCACCAGTCACCAAGCCCGTCGGGGAGGGGAGGTCCTGCGCAGTCCCCGGCAGACCCGGAACTGGACCAGAAACGCTTCTGGTTCACTTCCAGGTCTGCTGCTGAGCGCGCTTGGGACTCTTCTGTGCTTCTGTGGGACATTCCATATGCTTCAGCATCGCAGCATTCACGAGCTGCCTTCTATCTAGAGGTATGTAGAAAAAACATTTAAAGCTGTGTCTATGTCCGAATCACCAAATGTTTCCGAATCGATTTGGATGGTTCCAGTTTGATTCAGAGAGATTAAAGGGTCCTCTGATTCAATTTAGATTCGGACATTTGGCCACTAAATTGGGCCAAATCTCCACTGAATCGAATCAGGGACCAAAGCTTTGCACAGCCCTAGCTAACAGCTATCTTGTGAAGAAATTCACCATTCCTCTATTTAGTTTTCATTTTTCACTTTTATTTGTAGGCTCAAAGGAAAGAAGACAGCTCAGGAAGAGATCACCCTCCCCACTTCCTGCCTCCCTCCCTTGGTACACTGTTCCATACAGTGAGATTAAAGAAGACTTATTCTCTCTGGGCTAAAATACCTGCCTCTTCAGAGCTGGTTTGATAGGGTATGTAAAATTTTGTTCATGGGGGACAACATGAATCTGCAATGCAATATATTTATGTTCAATAAATGTATAATAATATGTATTAGATATACAAAGTGACAATAAAGAGAATCCATGGTGTAATTCATGCTTGAGTATGACTTAATGCAGCTGACTTCTTACCAATAAGATGTCAGGCCATCTCACATAAATGAACATCTCCTAAAATAGTTGATACATTAGTATCAATTTGAGGGCATGGGGGACCATATTACTTGCTGACTTACTAAGCCCATTATAGAGGGCATTATAATTATCCTTAGTAGTGGATCGCATGGCTGCTGCTAAGGTTTCTCAGTTGATTACCACTTAACAGTCAATAGCAACAGACTAGCCAGTTAACTGGCCATAATTCAGAAGTCCCTATGTGTGGACTGCACTTTGGGAACCTTTTGCTTGATGGGTGTTAGCATGTCCATGGGGTACCATCTGTTCCCCTGGTTCTCGCCTGCCACGACTTTGATCTTATTAAACAAAAGGGGAGGAAAGAGATGTCACAATGATCAATACCCGTGGAAGGACCACACTTGGTCTATCTCATGATTTAGGTGCTTTTCTTCTTTCTTTTACAGACGACTGGATGGGAGGAAGCAGCTCATCCGGGCTGTTCCCAGGATCACCCCAGTGCTCTGAAGAGGATCCTAAAATTTCTCAATCTATCCGATAAGTGCTGGCAGACGTTTTGCTGGCTTATGGCTGTGCCCATAATCAATCCCAGAGGGGTTCCAGCTCTATGCCAACTGCCCTATGTAGGATGTCCCTGTCTGCCTCTTCTTATATGGGTCTCTCGCTGTAACCCCCTGCGTTCACAGTCATTGCCTGCTCCAAATAATAAAGGAAAGGGAAAAAGATACAAAAGGTTTCTTTCTTTGCCTGTGTCTTAGCTCCCTGCCGCCAATTAACTCATTAGTGGCTCGTTATGGGTACCACCTAGTCTCTTTGCCGGCGTGGATCTGGGAATCTCCCTGCAGTAGGGTTCACAGACCTCAGACCCAGCTCCCCTCTCCCCTTGAGTTCTGGGTGATGGGCAAGGTCCCTTCTGGGGTCTAGGCTTGCAACCCCCTTTTGTTTCAGCATTGCCTTGCTGTGTACCTGTGCGGAACTGTGGCTTCTCCCAGTGCAGCGGCTCAGTTTTCCCTGGTAAGTAGCGAGCATGGTTTGCCAGCCCCGGGCTCTGGAGTCACTCAGTCAGTGCTGGCCTTGTGTCGTGGATCCCTCCTTCGGATCCTTCCTCGTGGGAGTCCCCAGCAGCTCCTCTCTTCTCTCGTGGTGTCCGAAGGCATCTTCCCTGGGGCATTGTCCTCCTTATATCTCTGGATGCTGAGCCCCATTGGCTCACCGCAGGTGTGAGGTGTCTCCCTGCCCTGCCCCCACCGGGGCATTATCACTATCAGCTGCTGGAATTTTCTCAACAGGGCTCCAGTCAGGAACCCTGTTACAACGGGTATCCAAGTTTTATCCACAGCTTGAGTACTATATCAACAGCTTAAATACTGTGCCCAGTTCTGGTCCCCACACCTGAAAAAGGATACAGAAGAACTAGAGAAGGTAAACATAAGGGCAACAAAGATGATAAGCAGTATGGAGGGGCTTCCATATGAGGGGAAACTAAATGACATTTATATACATACTTTTATGTCCCACAACGTGCTGGAGATCTGGCAGGTTGCAGCAGACTCAATCAAGTCTGCTCTGTATGTGAGCTGATGTGCATTGCGCTGCTTTGTGTGCAGTTGTACAAGCGGCAAAATGCACATCAGTGTGCAGAAAATGGCAGCGGTATGCTTTTGAACTAAAACATTTCTGATGTGTTTTAGTTCAAAAGCACACCAATGGCATTTTCTCAGTGCTGATATGCATTTCACTGCTTATACAATTGCATGTGCTGCAGTGCTGGGTGCTTTTAAAAGTGCCCAGCACAAGCATGTGCACAAATGCCCAAAGAGGCTAGGCCTATTCAGTTTAGAAGAGATGCCTGAGGAGGGTTTACAAAATACTAAATGGTGAAGAGAAAGTAAATAAGGATTTGTTATTTAATCTTTCTCACAATACAAGAACTCAGGGGTTGTAAAATGAAACTAGTAGGTAGTAAGTTTAAAACTAACAAAAGGAAGCTCTTTTTCACAACAGTATGTAATTAAGGTGTGGAACTCACTGCCACCAGGTGCTGGGGAAACTGACAGTTTAGCTAGATTCAAAAAGGAATTGTAGAAATTCTTGGAAGAAAGGTACTACTGAGCATGGGAGTTAGGGGCACAGCCTCTGAATTATAACTTCCTAAATCTTAAATTCTGCAAGTGAGAAAGGAACAATGGAAAAGAAAAACCTTGGTCCTACTGAGTTCACCCTCCCCTTCAGCATCCAGTCTACCACCATATGACAGGATACTGGGCAAGATGGACCTATCGTTTGACCCAGTAAGCGGAAATACTTACATTCTTATGTTCTTTTCCTTACTTAGGTAGTTGGCTGATCAAGAAAAGAACTTCCCAGGAGAACACTTAATACTTACATAATGTCTTTAAGAAATTTTAACTAATTATTTTAATTAGATGTACAGTGACAACCAAAAGCTCCAAATAGGATTCTGTCCCGCTCTTAATAGTTGAGTACCATCTCATCTGACTTCTGCACTGAGTTATATATCCATATAATTAAAGACTGTAGCATAACACGGGCACACAAGGGGAAGAATGTTCTTTTAACATAGCTTTTCTATTTTATGGAGTTTCCTAGGTTTGAAACAAATGAATTCCATCACATGCATCTATCACATGAGTTATCAATAAACGTCTTTTCCGGGCTTTTCAGATCAACAGCATAAATCTCTACTCCTTGAGTTGAAGGAGCAGCTCTGTCAGTTGGTAGCTGTAGTAAGTTGTTATTCTCTCTGTGGACCACCCACTAGAGAAGGTTGTGACAAAAATGTTGCTGTGGTCCTACATAACTATTTCCTGAGCAGCATTGGCAATGCATAGGGGGTACACAAGGGTGCATGAGCACCTGCTGAGATTGGCCATGGTCTCCCTGAGAGAAGTGCCAGTGGCACTTCCAGTGGCAGTTCCAATGGCGGCAGCGATCAGCTGCTGGAGGACCCCTCCGCCCCAGTCGGCGATCAGCCGCTGGTGCCACCCCAGTATTAGGAGGCACCAGTCACCCATGCTGGATAGCACTAGAATAACAGAAATCAGAATTCCTTATCTGTCCCTGTCTCTGGTGGGGGAATGTTGTCTAGAGGTTAAAACAGGGAACTGGTAAGAGCTGATTGGGAACTTTCCAGCAAAACAGTGGGAACTTTTTCTGTAGTTAGAAAATTCCAATTTGTGCATTTTGTGAAATGTTTCATGAAAATATCTGTGGTTTAATTAGATTACAGGCAGGTTTTGATGGAAACCAACCCTGCCTCCTGGCAGACTTCTGCAAAGTTGAACTTCCATGACACCTAGCTCTGAGGCAGCTCCACCATGTGGTCTGTTCTGAGGTCAGAAACTCCAAGACCTTCAAGGTCCACAGCTCTGGACCAGCCCTACTATAGTAGGGCCTTTAATCCTGAGTTTACTTGGGATTGGTTCCTGGATCTACAGGACAAAGCTTGGAACTCCTTACAACCTTAGCTCAGACCAAGGCTTTAGGCTTCCTGGTTCCCTGCTGTGGAGTAAGGAGTCTAGAGTCAGCTCCTACATCCATAGCAGGTAGCCTGGAAGCCCTCACAGCCTCAGTATATGCCACAAATGCTGGGACCTTGAAAGCTACTGATTAAATGAGCAGTGAATAAACTGTCAAGAATATCCATTTCACTTTGAGGGAGCATATTTTGTTTAAAAAGCATTGTGTATCCATGTTTTGATGTAACTCCCTCCCCTTCCCCCCCTGAATTTCCAGTTCTTGAGAGAGCTTGAAAAATTATAATATATTTCCGTATCAGATCAACCCAGGCTTCAGTGTTTTGAAATTTCCCCAGATGTGGAAATTCTAAGTGTCAGCTTTCTCCTTAGTCCTGTTTGTTAACCAAGTCTTGCATTTGCATGCTAGTTTTTCATTGATGTATCTCTAAACATTTTGTAAAGGTTTATCTTCAGTCATATTGCAGATGCCATAGCCATATTTATTCTGAGAAGCTGTGAGGATAGATGAATGAAACTTAAGTTTTCCATGTAATGGAACCTGGGTTCTCTAGTCTTACCTGTGCCTAAAGTAGCTCATTAGCTACTTACAAAAGCTTGTATTGGTTTTATCTATGTTCTGTGAATACAAACAACTCTTCTATCTTCCAGGGCTGTCAATCTGGCAACATCCACAAGTATTATCTTCCCTTAGATAAAGGCTTAAGGTCTAACTGTTTTCAAATGACTCCTCTTACTGCTTCTACACAGTGTATAAATCTGTTTGTGTGTACGTAGGCTAGGTACAGACATTCAAAAAGCCTGAGGCGTAGTTGGTCTTGGCTACAAGGTTTTCTGTAAGTGGCGTAGTTTAGATTGGTAGCGAACAGAACATATATTGGTCTTTTGGTAGGGGGTGCAAATCTTAGGACCAGGTTCCACAATTTTTAAACCAGTCTGTGAGTGTGTCTACACATGCATTTACTCCAGCTTAAATTTCTTGCACAGTAAATTACTGTGCAGTAAGCAGGAACGGGTCAGTTTCTACACATGCAGGCCACCTGGGACTAAATTTAGTCCCAAGTCAGAGTAGCCTGCCATGTGTCCCTGTGGCCACTGGGGGGAGCTTCAGCCTCCAGTCACATGGCTGCCAGCATTTGGGACTAGCTTTAGTCCCAAATTTAAGCCAGAAGAGGTGGCCAGCCAGAAGTCCTGGGGCTGGGCTCAGTCTAGCCCCCTAGTGGCAGGGCAGACCCAGCAGGGAGGCCCCCTGAGTTACTGAACAGTAATACATCTACATGTGCATTACTGCATAGTAACTAATTGGGTCTAAATTTGATACATGTATGATGCAGGTATCAAATTTACACTTAAGTCAGTGTAAGTCACCATATTTATTACACAGTATAGGCATGTACATGTAGACATGCACCCATACTGGGCAGTAATTTTGGTTACTGCACATTAAATGCACACATGTAAATGCCCCCTGTGTGCACCAAACTTCTGTTTTGTTATGGGTATAAACCAGTTTCCAATCATTTATACTGGCAAAAGTGTGATGTCTGTACCTGATCATATAGTTTGCTGCTTCCTGCTTCCCTTCTGGAAACAATGACATTCTGTATCTCAAAAACAAAAAAAAAAAACCTTTCACAACAGACATTTATCATTTAAAAAATCTACTTTGAGAAGGGTAGAAAAGGGTGGCTTTTTTTTTTTTTTTTTTAGAGAGGGCTGAGTTAGAAGAGCATGATCAATTTAGGCAACCAGAAATATTTTTTTAAACTATCACTGAATAAGTGTGTGGTGTGTTTTTATATATAAAAACACATCACACACTTATTCAGTGATAGTTTAAAAAAATATTTCTGGTTGCCTAAAACAAGACTGACAGGAACATTTCAAATTATTTCCATTCAATCTTTCTCCCAGAACTAGTACCCAATTTTGTAGCATGAAGGCAAAGAGATGAGCGGTGAGGTGAGACAATAGAACACATTGTTTTACAGACTTTTTTCTCCACATTATACAACTGTAAGTATCTGTTCCAAGCTAAATTTCTTTGCTGCCAGGATGCTTTCTTGTATGAAAGTGACTATAAAAGAGTCCTGCTGTGAAATGCTCTCTGGGTCATGACCACTGTGGCCTCAAAATGTGTAGCTCTGACTTGGATAAATCATATCCCCACAAATCTCTTGCCCAACACACATACCACAATAGATACAAGAGTTCAAAGAGATACAAGTGATGAAAGAAATCACAACAAAGTTTACATCCATGCATGATGTATATGCCCTGCTGTTGGAAGAAATCTTGGGGTCATTTAAAAAAGTGGGA